TATGTTGCTTTTCCACATCCTCCCCACGTTCATTCCATTGAGTGTTTTTTTTATTTTTTATTTTTCCCCATTTTTCCCTCTATTTCCCTTTTTCTGGCACACGGTGTACCAAAGAGAGAGGCCTTCAACAGAACATTGCATGCCAGACGCTTCCCTTTGGCACTTTGTCGAGTTGGTTTCAAGTGATGGTTGGCCTTCAGCATGCAAGCCTTGATTTAACTGTTAAATCTCTGTAAGTTCTTAGCTCTTAAAGAGTTCTAAAGTCGTAGAAAAAAAGTTACTAGAAGTTAGTAAACCATCCACGCATTCCGGAGGCCAAGCCATTCATGTCGTGTGCCAAATCAATTTTAATAGGGCATTTGAGAAGATTAATTGTTAATCCGTTCAGCACTGGAGAGCATTCGTGTTTTCCTCATTGTGGGTATGAAGCTCATTGTACTGCTGGAACATGGCCTGGAGATGATTTCCTGCTTGGATGCTTGGATTTTGCTTTGGTTCAGACTTGGTGGCTGTCTACCTCCTTTCCTGACCAGAGTCTTATAAAAATTAGGTAACTGTTTTCCAAACAGCTTGACTGGTTTTATCATTGTCTGAGTGTTTAATTTCACAGTTTTGCCCCAGCAACAAATGGCAAAGACATTTTACTTTTAATTCTTGGCTTTTGTAATATCTAAAATCATGTATTTGTACTAGGGGTGTAACGATTTATAGTTGTACGATTTATTGCGATTAAAAAATGTCACAATATGCATCGTGGCGTTATAACGATTTGATTACGATATGACGTCCGTTTTCTCTTATTAGTTGAGCTTTTTGCACGTGAGCTACGTTCTACCTGCTGTCGCACGTGAGTTCAGATTACAGCAGCAGTAATGTTAGCAGACTAAGATGAGTGGAGTAGAAATAGAGGATGGCCCATCCTCTCTACATCAGACGTCTGGCAACATTTCGGTTGTACAGTCATTGCTTTAGACTCGTCCGCTTTTTGACACGCATACTGGGTCAAACATAGCTGAAGTTTTAAAGTCTTCACAGTGATTCACATACTTTGCACAGCGACATGGATACCTCCTAATGGTGTTGAAAGAGTCACATACTGTATTTATAAGGTACAATTCACCCTAAAATATCATTCTGTCTTCATATAATGATGTATTGGCGGCCGCAAAATCACACATGACGTGAGCTGACCGTGAGCTGTTACTACAGAGGGCGGAATATGATAGACGCGCGCGCGTCTGCTTTAGTGAACAGAACCTGCAGGTTGTGACTAACAGGTAATAAAGTAGTAAACAACATTCAGTTTGTGGAACAGAGTGGAGCGTTCAGGAACCGCGTGGGAAGTATGAACAGCAGTGGAAATGAAACCGAAAGCGTGCACATTATTTAAATAATCATATCGCATTTTAGAGTTATGGTTACAACGAGTATGAACTCTTTTGAGTACAGAGGTACACAAAAATGCACGTCAACATGATACACTTAATAGCGCTGACATCAGCAACGCCGAAGAAATAGTAAACCTGCCTAAACTGCTGAAAAGAGCCACGACTGTCCTGTGTAATGAAAAGACGGCCACCCTGTCACTCATCATGCCCAACATGAAGACAGCCATTCATAAAATCCTCTTAGACAGATACACATAAGTTCAGGATTATTTTATAGAACTGCTGATTACCTGGAAATGTAGATTGCACACACAAAAACCGCAAGTGACCAAGCAAAGCCTTAAGCTCTGTTCAATTCAATTGAATTGAATAATTTCAATAATATTTTATAAGAAGTTTTTTAATTGTTTTATTTTCCAGAGACAGTCCTGTTTAATTTATTTTCTTAAAGAAGGTTCAGTTTAACAAGTTAAAACAAAAGAAATACATAAAAAATAGTTTACTTGGTAATTAATTTTTTTTTAAATATAATTTGTATTTCAGTTTAATTTTCAATTTTTATTCCAAATATTGTGATACATATCGAATCATGAACATTATATCGTGATACACATTGTATCGTGAGCTAAGTGTATCGTTACACCCCTAATTTGTTCCTATTGAAAAGGTACCACCCCAGTGACAGCTCGCATACCTTTATTTCTGAGAGTGTAATGGATATGCACAAATATAATTTAAAGCATCTTAAAGAAAATATTAATTTAAATGAGAAATTTGTAAGGGGTGTACTCATATGCTGAGCACTGTATACTACAACAGTAACGTAATGTGAAAGGTTTATAAATGCCTATTGTTTATTTGTACTGTATATATGCAGACAGTTGTTTTGGAATCTGTAATACAGCAGGTATACACTGAACAAATGAGTAATTCTTGGTGCATATTTAAGACGATATATTTTGGCCCTTCTTCATGGTACTACAATTTGCTTCTAAAGGCTGTACTTTTCCCTATACTAGGTTATGGTGCCATTATGTGCTTCACATCTGATGTAGGTCCCAGTTCTCCCCCTCCTCACCTCTACCTAGTCTGGCAAAACAAGCCATGGCATGTAAAGAGGAACTTTTTCCTTTTCATGTATCCTTCCCTGTCTCCCCTGGACAAATGATCCTTTATTGTTTAAAACAGCCTCAAGGTGCAAGTGCTATGCAGGTCCAGGTCTTTAATTAGGTTTGTTTTTTTCTCTCTTTTGGGGAAAGATAATAGTTTGAAGTGGCATAGCTTGTATCCCAACATCAGGTTCCAATTGTAGCTAGGTTGTCTGACAGGAGAGTGTGTGCATGAGAGAGTTTCATGACTAGTCTTGGCTCACTTCCCAAATTCTTTAACTATAGTGTTTGCGTGTTGCCCGGTTGGACTTTGTCTCTTTCATGAGTGAATAGATGTTTTTTTGCATGTACTCTGTATCCTCTTTGACATCATTGACCACTGATTTGGATTTACTTTGGACACCGATGAAATATGTCTGAAATGTACTTTGTGAATCTTCAGTTTGGGACTGCACGATATTAGAAAGATATACAATATTGTTGTTGAGTATTGGGATAACGATATTTCTCACAATTTAACATTTCACTAGAAAAATGCTATTATTAGCTATGCCGCTATACAGTGCTCAGCATATATAAATACACCCCTCACAAATCTACCTTCTAAATTCATATTTTTAATAGGAAGCTATACAGTATTATTCATTCATTTTTTTTTCGGCTCAGTCCCTTTATTAATCTGGGGTCACCACAGCTGAATGAACTGACAACTTATCCAGCATATGTTTTATGCAGCGGATTCCCTTCCAGCTGCATCCCATCTCTGGGAAACATCGACACGCACTCATTCCCACTCATACACTACGAACAATTTAGTCCACCCAATTCAATTCATAATATTAATGCATATACATTAGATTAGTCAGTACTGATGCCAAATCTGGAAATTATCTAACAAAATAACTTATGATAACGGTCCAGAAATTAGTACACCTAAATGTATATGAGGGTGAAGCAAAATAGAAGTAAAAAAGGGAAAAATTTAGTTAGTTGAAAAAAAATTTGTAGGTTGTACATTTTTTTTAATTACTTTTTTTGTGTGCAATTTTTGCTTGAATTTAATTGTTTATCTTTCAATTTCTTAATATGTTTGGTGACCAAAATATTATTTTAATAAATATGTCTTTTAAATAAATCAGTTTTGTTTAAATGCACCAAAATATATGACCTAACTTTACTGCTAAATTAATAAAAAATATTCATTTTCAAAATGGGGTGTACTCAATTAGCTGAGCACTGTACGTGTTTATTTTCAGCTCTTGGTTTGCATTTGGGCTGCTCCTGCAAAAATCTGAACAGCAACTACAGGGGAGGTGAGGATAAAGATAGAAAGGCCCAATCTTATCAAATTTAGATAAACAAACAATGGATAAAATTAATGTTATTTATCACCTTTGGCTGGAATCAGTTTCCAGAAATGATCAGATGTCTTCCAACAATATTCAAGTCAAGACTTAAAACATATTTTTAACTGTGCCTTTACTGAATGAGCACTGTGTTATGTAAGACAGATCACACTATTATGTATTTTTGTTTTTATAACTTGTTTTAACACATTTGAATCTGTTTTTATGTTTAAATCATTTTTAATTCTTTTTTAATGATTTTTATTTTCTTTTTTCTTGTTTATATAAAGCACTTTGAATTACCATTGTGTATGAAATGTGTTATATAAATGAACTTACCTTGCCTTACATATGTCTGCAATATGTTAATTGAATCTACAGTTATCGCGATATAACAATAATTTTGTGATGTATTGTGCAGCCCTAGTGAAGTTACTGACAGATGCTGCAGCCACTGGTTCCTTCTATGTGCTGCAGTCGTTAAATAACATGTTTTTACTTCTCATTGTTATTATCTTTAGGGAACTGAAGTTCACCAAAGAATAAAATAATTTACACTATAAACATTCTTGCTGACTTTTTAGTTGAATAAAAGGAACTTTTCAGGTCATCTTAATAATATCAATCAAAAGGACTTAAAATATTAATTTAAACTTTGTATAACTGAAATAAAATTGTTGCAACTTTTAAAAATAGGTTAAATCAACATACAAATATTGGTTGTCTTGACTTTTTGTCATAACATTTTCACAATGTACTAATTTCCCAGTGTTCATATTGTTCTAAACCTCAATGTATGCTTAATTTCAATACTTAAACTATTTAATGACAACTCTTGCAGCGGTCAAGCTCTAAAATGACAAAAAAGCATCAAACATTCTTTTAAAGAGGAAAATAGGAAAATGATTAGAAGTAAATGATGTTTTTAAAATAAAGCATGTGAAATCCAAAGGACTTGGTGAGCTTGTCAAACACTAAAAGTAGTCACATGCTTTGGTACTGTTTATGGCCCAACAAAGCAATCCTCACTAGCTAAACATTTCAGTCACTCAGGTTTCTCCTTTCTCCCGGAGAGCTGATTTCAGATCAGTTGCTCAAGGCAATGTTTGCAAACAGAATGTTTCACTTACAGACTTTTTCCATTCTTGTTCCTCCAGGTGTTCTGTCTGCTTTGATCTCCTGACCAACTGGTACTTTGAGAAAGAGGGGAGGCTGTTCTGTCACAAACACTACTGCGAGAAGTTTGGGGAATTGTGCCATGGCTGCTCACTGCTTATGACGGGACCTGCCATGGTAAGGAAAGCCATGTAAACTTGTTTGAACTGCCTGGTGTGTTAGTTTTTCAGGGGGAAAAAACAGACAATAAAGAAACTGGCTATCAGTCAAAAGTTCTTGAGAAGATTTCACAAGTCAAATGCTAACCTGCGCAAGAACCACTTAGATAAAATGCCATTGTCTCATTCGGTAAATATTTACACAGATGAAACGAGAGTTGAATGAAGGCAGGCAAAGTCAATAAATGCAGATGTTTTTCATAGTACTGAAGAGGTCACTGATAAGGTAAAGGATGCTTGGGTAGTCTTTAAACTCTCTTTTCCACTCCTAATGTGAACAGGGTGCTTGTGGCAGAAATAAAACGTATTACTATTTTTGAAGTTCTTACATCAGCAATACAAACCCCCTTCACAATTCTATAAGCCCAAATTTGAAGGTGTCTCATAAATGGCCAAAGCACTGCTATGTTTGTTCCATCATTACTTTAGTATCAATTTAAAGGTATGATTTTCCCAAGTCATCAGACCTCATGCTGAGATGTCACTGACTGATTTTGCAGCCTCAATGTGACGGTTTACCTCTGAAATTACATTCACCTCATGTTGGTGGATGAAACCCAAATAAGTTCCATTTAAACATATCAGTATTGATAAAGAAGTGAGTTGAAGTTAATATATTGAAGCTGAGGACAAAAGATTGCTTGAAACTAATACATTTGCACAAATATTTTAAATCAAATATATAAACACAAACTTTAAACATCCACTAACTTTAAATGTCTTTAGCCCTTAGACATCACAAACATTTTTATTATATTTGAGAATCCTATTTAATAATCTATTTCTCATACAAAGAGAATTGCAATACAGCAGTTAAGTCATTTGAATTCATTTCACAGAAACATTATGTTCTTTTTGGTATGGCTTTTATAAAACTGACAAAAAAGCTGTAACATTCTCTTAATATTGTGTGTCTGTGTGTGTACAGGTTTGTGTGGTTTACAAGGACACGAAATTGAATATTGACATGGCTATGACAGTTCTACTCTATTCTGCAATAAATGCTTTTCTTAGTTTTTTTTTTTTTTTAATGTCATGTTTCTAGTCCAAATCTCTAACAATTCTTGAATAAAAACATTTTTTCAGAAAAGCAAAAAATATTGTCTTGTTTTAAGAATGAATATACCAGAATTAAGTGAGTTTTTCCTTAAAGCAAATTAGTTTTGCCAACAAACAAATAATCTGCCAATGTGGTAAGCAAAACAATCTTGTTTTTCTTTCGACATAAGATTTTTTTCTTGTTTTAAGGAAAAACTCACTTAATTTTGTCATTATTTCTAAAAACAAGACCATTTGTTCTGCTTGTCTAGAAAAGGCTTCTGGTTTTAAGAATTTATTTTCAAATATTTGGACTAGAAACAAAAAAATCTAAGAATTAAGGCAGTTTATGAGGACATGACTAGTGTCCCTATAATTCAATATACTTAAAATCATACTTATTAATGACTTTTGACACTCAATTTATCTAAGGTCATCTGTGAGGGTTGGGTATATAATATAGGCTATTTTACAGTTTAAAATAAATTACAACCAGTGTTGGTGAAAACGCGTTATAAGTAACACACGTTGCATAATAATTTTACTTTTACAAAGTAACAAGTAATATAATGCACTACTTTTAAAAATAAGTAATATTACAAAATATATTGCAGATACAAAAAAAAATAGTCAGTTTAAATCCCACTCAATGAGAGAGCATGCTGCGAGGGAACAGTCGGCTCGCACTCATCATCATTATCATCAGGTCTCCTTTTTCACAGCAGATGAGTCGGTGTACTGTTCTAGTAACTGAATAACTCAGGATATGGGTTTGTTTCAAGTCAAAGGGGGTATCTGCTATGTTAGTATTGAAGACACAAACAGTTTTACCACAACTCAATTTAAAAATTCAATTTAATGAGCTGGTTTGAGCGGTTCAGATCCAGTTAAAAACAAAACGTGAAATGAATCGCGAATTGGCCGTCATCACTACAAAAAGTCCGAAACAAAATCAATGGTAAATATTTTGAACTCATCATAGAAAAGAAGTGGATTGTTTTTATTGCTTTTATTGTTGAGGAGACACAGCCACTGACTACTGTAGAAGCGACTACATTTTGTAATTTAGTTCGATTTTTTTAAATTTTTTTTATATATTTTTTTTTTATCTTTTAGGAAATGATTTATACATCTGTTAAGGCCACATGAAGCAATTTGTTTAATGTATTAAGCTTAAAGATTTATTTTAATTTGGGTATGTTTTTATCGTCTTACTATTCATTTTCTTATTAAACATTTAAAGGTTTAATGTCTGTTTTTGCCTTTACTTAACTAATAACACAAAACATACAAAAGTTGTAAACATTACATTTTTTTCTTTAATCTGTATATACAGCATATATAGCTCTGGGTTCAGAAAGTTCTCAAATACTATTTTATTCTACATTTTTTAAAGGAAAAGTAAGGTGTGGGCTATATTTTTAAAATGCAGATCTCTTCAATTAAAAAAAAAAGGTAAAAACAACACCTGCTGAAAGATATCAGACCTCAGCCTGGTAAGTAACGCAAAAATAACTCAAAAGTAATATAACGCATGACTTTACATAAAAAGTAACTAAATAACCCAATTAGTTTCTTTTTTGGGGGAGTAACTCAATATTGTAATGCACTACTTTCAAAAGTAACTATAGAGAGTTCTTGTAAACGATATATAAGTTTATATGTGTGTGTTAAATTTTAGCATTTAGTTATTATTAGCAATACTATATTTTTTTGTGTCTAGAAAGAAAAACTTGAGCCATAGCTTTGTTAATCTGTCTGGTTTCAGACTGTTATTGCTGACTGTTATAAATGATCTCATTCCTGTGAGCAGTGTGACTACGATCTGAAGGCAGGAATGGCCTCAGTGTTGTGTGTTGTTTCATCATGCGTCTGGAATGCCTTTGCATGGGCTTCAATGAGGATCTTTGTAATCATAAGCGCTAATGGAAGTCCCATCAATGTGAGGGAGACCTACAAATCCATCTTTAACGTAAACAAATCGCAGTTCACAAGTAAAAAAAAAAAAAAGTCATTTAAAAATGGCTTAAAGGGAGAAATGGGGAGAAAGGTGGGGAATCTGCCAGCAAGCAAAACATATAATGGGCCTTTTCTGTTTGGGCTCGGGTTGACGAATGCCAAGTATTTTGGTTGTGGTGCGCTGCCAGTTGTGGGCTCAGACGCACAAGCAGCAGGGTGTCAAAACCTCTAAAAGACAGACAGGGAGAAGGAATCACATCCTCACCGCTGAAGTGCTTGTCTGAGTGTGTTTGTGTATTTGTTCATAGATCATCCATGACAATGAAAATTCTTTTCTTTGGCGGCTGGATAGTTCCTCATTGTTCAGTTCACTTCCTTCTCTCTTTTTCCCCCTTTTTTGCTTCTTGGAGTCTGCATTCATTGCATTCCATTTAAACTGATGTTATGGCACCTTGATTCCTAGTTCAAGAAATGAATTGACTAAATGAGAAGTGATGTAGTTTTGTCTTTTTTTTTTTTTAAATCTGTGTTCACTTCGTTGTGGTGATGTGACTCCTTGAGTCCTTAGGGAGGGGTGGCTCTTTTACAGTGTATAGTGCTGGGAAACAGACTTTCTCACATGCACATTCACACTCTCATGCTGTTAAATACAGGCAGGAATGACGTTTATGCATCGTGTAAGCGCAAATCCAGTTTAAGACATCATGCTTACTCACAGGTTGAACCAAGTATCAAGTAGTTCAACTAGCTGCCCTAAAGCATTGTAAATGTATAGGCAGTAAAAATGTAGTTGCGTCACTCCCATAGTTCTCCCAGGAAGTTACCAGACAGTCGGTTGTTATTTTATATGCAATATAATTTTTTTAAAATCATATATTAGTATTATATTTGTGTTATGGTAGAAGGTACAGCGAGACCAAAACCAAGTAGGCATAAAATCCTCTAATTGCCTGTCTGCCAGTTCTAAAGTCTGATTGTTGAAATCTTTAGTCTACACCAGGAGGTGTGGCTTACCCAGCAGAGAAAATTACTCAAGAATTTGGTTAGTCAAACCCCGGGATCGTTGATTCACAGCTCGGTAAACATAACTGCTAATCTGTCTTTTGTGGTTAACATTAAATAAAACCTCAGCGTGACCTCATACTTTCTCCATTCAACCCGAATGAAAAGAAGAGCCAGAGGGTTATTGGGTAAATTATTTTCCATTCAAAATAAGAGAATAAACGTCTGCTGCTGTTTCATAACCTTTGCTGATTGGCAGCTATTTTTATATTGAGTTTACATGAGTTTGTGTGCCATTGTCGTACTGTTTAAATGAAGCACTGTGAACTGTGTGTACTAGGGGAGGAAAGCTACAAAGAATGGTGTTTTTAAAGATATTGATGTATTTTATTTGGGTTAATTACCAAAGAAGTTCTGCACTTTAATAATGTATTCTATAAATCACAGGAGAAAAAGAGTGTGTTTCGGCTGTGTGCCTTTGTCAGTTTTCTCCTGTGATTTATTTAAGGAATTATTGAGTGCAGACTCTCTTTGGTACTTGTCATTTGAGAAAATTTGGTCACAGCACCAAACCTTTCTGGTGGAGAGTGATGACTTACATTTGATTTATTTGGGGTAAACAAACTCCTATAGTTAAAGCGATAGATCATTATCATCATTTACTCACCATGTTCTTGTTGCAAACTTGTTTGACTTTTTCCTACTTACTTTCGTCCTATCCCTTTAACTAAATCTCATAAGGCTTTCCTTTGGGGACATCCTCACGTGTAAAAATATTTATCATATATTAGCAATATCAAAAAATGTTTCTTAAAGGTGCAGTAGGCGATCTGTCAGAATGCTAGCATTAACAAAATAGCTTAGAAATTGATGTCCCTCCCCTGCCGTCCAAAGCCTTGCCTCCTTAAGTCATGAACGCTCAAACACTGATTCAGATAGACAACCTTATATAACGCTAGATCATGTCATTCACCAGTTAGAAAACTCTATGGAGACGCGCACTTTGTCCAGTTTAGTTGTTGACAGGCCAGCAAGTGCAGGAATTATATTCCCCCAAAACTGGCATTGGGGTAAAGTTGGTTTAACATTCAGACATTTGGACTTTTTCCTTAATAATATAATTCCAGAAAAGTATTGTTTGCAAATAGTGAAATCATATAATCAGCCAATGTCTATAAAATACAACATTGTTCACAGTGACACAGTGACAACATTGCTACATGCTATTCCAGACCCAATATTCAAAGTAAGGTTAAAGTGGAAGCGCGACAGGATGTCGATTTTTCAAAAATGAATTAATGAATGTGCGAAAATAAATCAAACTTCACCTTAGCTGGTTAGGTGGAAGATGATCATTTACTCATTTTTTAGAAAAAAAGAAGTACTAAAAACAGAAATTTACTTCCTTCGTTTTACATTACATTTGCATTACCAAGACAATGAGTGACTTTTTATTTTCAATTTTTATTTTTATCTCCTTTTACACTTGAACAACTAAAGGAATGCTTAGGTCTATTTGACTGTATTATCGATGCTGTAAAAGATACTTAAAGTCAATATTTTGCTTGACATTTTCAGTATAATAATAGTAATAATAATTCAGTATAATAATAATAATAATATTCATGTTTTTTTTAGCTTAGACCTTTTATTAATCTGGGGTAACCACAGCGTAATGAACCGCCAACTTATCCAGCATATGTTTTACGCAGCGGATGCCTTTCCAGCCGCAACCCATCACTGGGAAACAACCATACACACTCATTCACACACACAAACACTACTGACAATTTAGCTTACCCAATTTACCTGTACCACCGGTTTTGGACTTGTCGGGGAAACCGGAGCACCCAGAGGAAACCCACACAAACACGGGGAGAACATGCAAACACTACACAGAAATCCTCCTCATCCACCACCAGTGTGCAGCATCCACCTAGATGATGCAACAGCAGCCATATCTCACCAGACCGCACATTATACACCAGTTGATTGGTGGAGAGGGGACGTGATGAAGCCAATTATGATATGGGGATGGTTAGGAGACCATGATAGACATACTCCAGTGGGCAAATTTGGCCAGAATGCCGGTGGTTAAACCCCTACTCTTTTTTTTGAAACACATTTCTGGGATTTTTAATGACCACAGCAAGTCTGGACCTTAGTTTAACGTCTTATTCGAAAGACGGAGCTCACTGAGCAGTATAGAGTCCCCATCAATGTACAACGTACCCCCTGCTGGTCTCACTAACACCACTTTCGGCAGATTTCCGGTGCAGCCTTCTTAGCTTCAGTGGGTAACCCATTCATAAAAAAAGAACACAATCTATATAAGCTTTGCGTAGCTAAAATAGTTTTAAAACATATTTGTCTAAAAGTAATACTTAAGTCATGGTGTCACAAAAAATATTTCTTAAGACAATCACCTACTGCATCTTTTTAAGGGGATTACATTAGGTATAGTAGTCATTTTAGATAGTAGTTTGTTTTATGTAGGAAAAGAAAGGAAACTGTCATATTATTCTCTGGTTTAATAGTTGTTTGGGTTCTTGATTCATGCAAATGTTTGTTTTCATGTGATTCATGCAACGTTACGTTCATATAATTTTACAATTAATTTGACATTTTTTTATCCATTATGGTAGGGGCCATCAAAGCGAATGCATTGGATAGAGGTAGGTGGTCTTAAGCAAAGTTTGACACAACTGAGGGGTTGTCTAAGGGCATAGGATTATGCGTATAGGAAGGGGGCGGTGGCTGTATGTCACTTCAGATAACAGGCAGGCCCAGACACTTGCAGGTGTTACAGAAAAAGACAACACACACCCACGTCACTGCCAAGGAACGCAGACTCAACCAAGACAGTACATCGACACAAAGCAGATGAAGCACAATGAAAGCATGATCCACCACGCCTGGGCTTGGCAGAGATAGCACCAAGAGTGCACAGGAGAATTCCAGAAAGACTTTCTTGGATATCGATCAAGGCTGGGGTTCCTGGCACTGAGGATTTTCTTTTGGGATGTCCAGTGTGGGCTTTTGAAGTGAAGTCGTCAGACTGTGCAGCCGTGATCTAATCTGAACGGGGGTATTCGTATGTTTCAGGTGGCAGGAGACTATAAATACCACCCCGAATGCTTTGTGTGTTTGAGCTGCAGGGTGGTGATTGAAGATAGAGACACCTATGCCTTAGTGGAACGTACAAAACTTTACTGGTAAGTTACTTTATAGTCCTCCATTCTGTGTGCCGTACTAATTGTAGTGATGATTCCTCTGTGTTGATATCTTAGCTAGGGTGACCAGATGTCCCAGTTTTGAGAGGTGTATCCTGACAAATCACTAAAAAAATGTAAATATGTCCTAGTTTAAAATACTAGGATCACTGATTTTTATTAAGTACTCCATCTCCTTATGTAGCTACTGCCTCAGGTACCATTTATAAGGCTCAACAGGATAACATTGCAGAGAAGAGGGTTTTTGTAAGATAATTTGAAAAAAATAATAATAATAATTCGAAAACACTGTAGTTTAAGTAAAAATTTAAGTAACTAGTAACATATTACCTGTTTTTAATTTAGATGTTGTCTGTTTATTAGTACTTTATAAAGCATAATCTTATTCTACATGCCTAATCCTACCCAATACCTGAACCCATCAATCTCACCACCTATTAATAAGCAGCAAATCTGTACTTTTATTAAATCTTGACGTGTTACATGAAATATTGTATGACACTTGTGTGAACTTTTGAATGAAACTGCACTGGGCACATTTTTCCAGCACTTGGTCAGTCAGATAATGTAGGTAATTAGGTAAATGTATTTGTTTGTTATTATTTTTTAACGATAAGTGGAACCTTCCATTAAAGAAAATAAAAATAACACAGTTTAAACTAAAATTATACAAATTTGAAAACACAATCACATATTAATTGCAGACTACCCATGAAAATCATTTGTTTGAAACATCTTTAAAAGTAAATCGAAGCTTGTATGTGTGTGTATGTATTTGTGAATGTTAGATCTGGACCATACAGATAAAGTTTTTACAAATTTCATAATCATAATGCTTTAGTTCATAATCTGTTGTATATCTTCGTTTGTTGTTTCCAGTAAAAGCACAGGCAAGTTGGCGCACATCAGAGAGTTTCATAACATGTCTTGCACTTGTCAGGTCTTGTCCTGAAATCTTCTGAGAGGCTCATCAACTTCTCACTATTTCTCTCTTTTATTTTTCCTACGTCCAGTGGTAAATGCTACAAGCAGGTGGTCCTGACACCAGTGTTGGAGAAGCGGGGTTTGGCTGACTCTCCATCAGACCTGCTCCCTCACACAGTGACTCTGGTGTCCATGCCTGCTGCCACCAATGGCAAAAGAGGCTTCTCTGTCAGCGTGATTAGAGACTGCACCAGTGCCATTGCCAGCGTCCAGGTTAAAGAGTAAGTGAAGACATTAAGAATCAACATGAAAACACTTGATGCCTTGCTTAAGATCTTGATTTGAGTCCTGGTTTGGCTAGCAGTCATGTTACTGAAAAAACTCTTGGAATAAATTCTTGCTGAAGTTATTTATCACCTCAAAGATTCACTACAATGCCACCACACCCCATGCCAGAGACACTGTTAATGCCACATGGAATGTGTTGCATAACTGTGGTGATACGACTGCTCGTTTTAGATTGAGGGCCCTAACATGGCACTGTTTTTGTGTTTACTAAAACCGAAATCATAGTAAAAAAGCGATAACATTTATCTCTTCATTCTTGACCAGTCTTCTTACAATGCAAATCTCCCAAAATCTTATCCTTACAGGGTCAGAGGGATGCATATTAGTCCTGAGGTTCGGAATGCCATCCATGTTGGGGACCGAATCCTGGAGATCAATGGACTCCCAGTGACATCCCTGATAGAGGAAGAGGTACTTTCCCTTTTAACCACAACTTTAGTTTCTTTTTATGTACGGTGAAATTGTGCTCGTGGGTACGTGTTGAAGCAGTATGATTATACTGAGGAACGGCATGGTAAACGTTTATAAACTATAAACTCATACCATTGCTTGTCCCAGCACATACAGTGACACTCCTTTCATACCGGGGTAATTGCGTTTGGGTCGTGCTCTGACTTTACAATACTCCCTAGAACAGGCTGTGTTTGTTAGATGACTTTGATGTGTTTTTTTTAGTATAAGCCATATGACACGTTGCTAACTTCGTTGACATGCTTCATGTTTTGTCAAATTGAAGTTAGGCGTGTTAAGGCTACGAAAGCAATACATATATAGTTTTAGTATGAATAATATTAAGTAGTCAAGTAGGGATGCTCCGAGCTGATACTTCGATCCGATTTCAGCTTTGATACCACATTTTCTTTTGCCATATCGGGTGTCATATATTATTCTGTAATATTGTAACATACGCATAAAGAATTTATATATAATGTATAATTGATTATGTAACATACGTATAAAGAAATTATAATGTACCATTCATGAAGTAATCTGATAGTTCATGTGAGGTACAAGGAATATTCTAGTGGTTAAATTCAATTTCCCATCAGCTCTTCCCTCCGCTGAGCTTGCAGATCATTGTAATCAAATCAAATGTAAACAAGATGATTTGTTCCCATTATTATATCTAATGATCATTGGATGGATGCATATAGTTTTGCATTTAAGGAATTTATTTCAACTTGCTCTTTCTAAATCATGTCACATTCTCCTGTGTGTCTGTGTCTAGATCGCAGCACTGCAGTAGTATGGAACACTATGATCTGCTTTTTATGCACACAGTAACTGAAGTTAAAAAGAAAAGACTCAATATGTTGCAAAGATCAACAAATCATTGATGGCTTCCCTTTGTGCTCTGAATTTTTCAAAGCGGCAGCAGGTACTGGAGAGCTGCACGTTGACTGACTCCAAAATGTCATATTCTCTCATTGCTTTTCATAAACAATTTTATCTAATGTTTTACCAAAACCAAACCAAACTCTTTGTTTCTAATCCTCAGATTATCTTAAGTATAAAAACTTTAAAACGTTACAATTAAAACTGATATCAGACCAGTATCTTTTTTTGGCCAATGTTTGTTTCTAAAAACATTGTATCGGGTTATCCGTATACTCAAGCATAAGTTTAACGTTGTAATGCATACCTGTGCTGGGAGGTGTGCACATGTATACTTTTGTACTGAAGTGACTTGTCAACTTCTGTGTAAATGCTTAGCATTCTCATCGTGCATTTGTAAATGTGACTTCATTTTCCCACCATTACTCCTTAACATCTGAATTCCGCTCCTTCACTTCACTGTTTCTTTCAGGGATTTGTGCTTTAATTTAATCACATACATAGAGGTTTGGACTGACTTTCTTTGGCAGCAGTCTGCCCGCTGTAATGAGCAGCCTGAAGTCCCGTAATCCTAAAAATGGAAAATGCTGAAAAATAAAAAGTCCTAAAATTAAATCGTGCACAATTACTGAAAGATGTTTGATCTCTTCATTACTGGATACCCAGATTCATCTGCCTGATAATACTGAATCTTAAATACATTGTATTGTTCCTCTGTATTGCCTAACCTTAAATTCTGTGTTCATAGTACAGGCTTATCCTTTGCACCTTTAGAGCTTTTGTGTGGCACCAGCTTTCACTGGAAGGAAAAAAGAAATCTATGTTATCTATGTTAACAGAATTTGTGCTCATTGTTTAAGTTTCATGACTTAACACTGTCCTTTGGCTTGTATTGTTGTGGCGCTTATCAAAAACAAGCAGAAAGTGTTGTGACCTTCTGAAATTTTTTTAATTGGTTGTTTTAGGTGGAGGACCTCATCCATCGGACCAGTCAGACACTGCAGCTGCTAATGGAATATGATCCAGTCAGACAGCGTCTGGACCGACTCCGTCTGGGCTCTCCCCGCAATAAGCTGGGTGTCCCTGTAGTGTCTCGTATGAGACTCTCCTCACCAGTAGATGCTGAGATTGAACGGAGTGACACAGTGGACAATGGGACGTTAAAGAGGAGGTCCCTCAGGTAACTAATTCCTCTGTATTGGTTAAGCATTCAAAACGTGTACATACAAACATGGAGCAAAATAAATACATCATTCCCTTGTTGACCTGTTCATTTTTTTTAAACTGGTTTGTTGTAGACGTAGCAACAGCATCTGCAAGTCTCCAGTCTCTTCATCTCCCAAGGACCATCTAGTTCTGACTCGAGATATCGGCCGCTCTGAATCTCTCCGCTCTCCTTCCAGCTGCTCTCACCGCATCTTCCGTCCCTGTGACCTCATCCATGGAGAAATCCTTGGCAAAGGCTTCTTTGGACAGGCCATTAAGGTGTGCATATTTCTAACATTGGTTGCTCATTTTCTGTGTAATGCAGTGTATATCTCATCACTGGTTTCCAAATGTCTAGAAAAGCTTTTTAACTGCATCTCGGAATTACTTGGCGTCTCATAATTAGTTTGATTATGCCAATCATTGGTCTGTACATTTTGCTGTACATGAACAATAAAGAAACTACACTCACTGGCTACTTTATTGGGTACACTTATTCAACTGCTCATAAATCAGCCAACCACATGGCAGCAACTCAATGCATGATGATCTGCTGCAGTTCAAACAGAGCATCAGAATGGGAAAGAAAGGTGATTTAAGTGACTTTGAACATGGCTTGGTTGTTGGTGCCAAACAGGCTGGTCTGAGTATTTCATAAACTGCTGATCTACTGGGATTTTCACGTACCTTCTCTAGGGTTTTAAGAAAATGGTCCGAAAAATAGAAACCATCCAGTGAGCGGCAGTTCTGTGGGTGCCTTGTTGATGCCAGAGGTCAGAGGAGAATGGCCAGATTGGTTCCAGTTAATAGAAAGGCAACAGTAACTGAAATAACCCCTTAATACAACTGAACACACAACACACCAAACGTGTTGAGGCGAATGGTCTACAGCAGGGGTGTCAAACTCAATTCCTGGAGGGCCGAAGCCCTGCACAGTTTAGTTCCGACCCTGCTCCAACACACTTACCTGTAGGTTTCAAACAAGCCTGAAGGACTCAATTAGTTTGATCAGGTGTGTTTAATTAGGGTTGGAACTAAAGTTTGACACCTGTGGTCTACAGCCACAGAAACCACACTGGGTGCCACTTCTGTTAGCTAAGAACAGGAAACTGAAGCAACAATTCGCACAGACTTACTAAAATTGGACAATAGAATTGGAAAAACGTTGTCTGGTCTGATGAGTCTCGATTTCTGCTGCAACATTCACATGGCAGGGTCAGAATTAGGCATTAATTCCATGAAAGCATGGATCCATTCTGCCTTGTATAAACGGTTCAGGCTGGTGGTGGTGGTGTAATGGTGTGGAGGATATTTTTAATGGGCCCAAAATGTGCCAAGTACCAATTGAGCATTGTGTCAGCAACAGAGCCTACCTTAGTATTGTTGCTGACCATGTCCATCCCTTTATGACCAGTGTATCCATCTTCTGATGGCTACTTCCAGTAGGATAACGCACCATGTCAAAGCGTGAATCATCTCAGACTGGTTTCTTGAACATGACAATGAGTTCACTGAACTCAAATGGCCTCCACAGTCACCAGAACTCAATCCAATAAAGCACCTTTGGGATGTGGTGGATTGGGAGATTCACCTGATGGATGTGCAGCCGACAAATCAGCAGGAGCTGCGTGTTGCTATCATGTCAATATGGACCAAAATCTCTGAGGACTATTTCCAGTACCCTGTTGAATCTCTGCCACAAAGGATTAAGGCAGTTCTGAAGGTGTATGTAATAAAGTGTTCCATAGTTCCTTGCCATAGTGACTTTCGAGAACCCTGAACTATTTGGTTTCAATATTTGTAAAGGGCAGGATTAAAATTTCTAAAAAATCTCTTATAGGTGACCCATAAAGCCACTGGTGAGGTGATGGTCATGAAAGAGCTGATCCGCTGTGATGAAGAGACACAGAAAACGTTCCTAAAGGAGGTAAGATCCAATTCTCCCTTCATCCGATTACCTCTTAATTTTTTCCTTTACCTCTCCATATCCTTCAATCCCTTTGTTGTGTGTACTGGGTCAGTATCAGAGTGTGATTTAAACAGCAGATAAAACAGATCCATGTGGCGCCGGGATACAATGTTGCTGTAACATTTGCCTTTTTTCTTCAGAGGAAGAGACTTAGTCCTAGATTTATCCAGTCTGTATTTAGTATGAATCATATTTGTTTCTCTCTCCCTCTCTTTCTTTTCCAGGTAAAAGTGATGAGAAGTCTTGATCACACACACGTTTTGAAGTTCATCGGGGTTTTGTACAAGGACAAGCGTCTTAATCTGATAACAGAGTTCATTGAGGGAGGCACTCTTAAGGATTTCATCCGAGACACGGTGCGTCCTGGTTTTAATATCTATTTTTTCCTTTCCTCTTGCTTCGAGGAATGGCTGTAGATCATCTGTTAGCGTTTTAGTCTGTCACTGTCTCCGTTCACCTGAGATGAACTTTGCATGGACGAGAAGAGAGGGACAGGGAATAGGGGCTGGAAAATGTAAACAGTCAGTAAAATGAGAGGGAGAAATGCAGTTGTGTGGTTGCAGCGAATGAGAGATAAAAGAGGTATGAAGTGTTTCCAGGTGAAGGATCTACTAGTGGGAATGTTTTCCAGATCACCCACTGGGCTTGCTTCAAATACGGGTTTCATAAGGTTCACAGATGATATACCTCTCTTGTTGAGCCTTCCATGATGTCTCTAGTGCATGGTGATGTTTTCTATAAAAGTGTGTCTGCTTTGAGTAATTAGTGTCTGTAATAAGCCGCTGCCATTATGCAACGATTTCCTCTCTAATTCACGGACAGCATGGCGTGCAGTTACACTGGCCTGTATTATAATGTGGTTATAAAGTACGCCAGCAATTCATCTCTTCCTCTCTGTCTCTCAATCCCTACAGGACTCATTCCCATGGGAACAGAGAGTTAGTTTTGCAAAGAGCATTGCATCTGGAATGGTGAGTGGGCTTCTGAGTTTGCACACATTTAGTAATGCAAAACAAGATTATGTTGTTAAAAAAAATCTCTTTTGCCTCTCTGAGGCTCTTTTGAAAGAGTTAACAGTTATATCATATATATATATATATATATATATATATATATATATATATATATATATATATATATATATATATATATATATTTGTCAGAAATACTATATTTTATGTTATAATAGGCCTACTTGAATGTAATTTATAATTCTTTTAAGACCAAAAAGTATTATTTGTACCCCACTTTACCTAAAATTTATTCATTCTTTTTGTTTACTTGGTAGAGAACTGACCAACAAAATACATTGAAATAAAGATACATATAATACAGAATGAAATTGGTTACAACAGAGCATTTTTTCCAACAAAATTAGGCTATATGAAGTGGTCAAAAATTTTTCCATGTTTCCTGTTGCTTTTTTGTTTTTCTTTCATCTATGTTTTTTTTTTCAGTCTTCTCAGGTAACAATCCTAAGTCATTCAAAATTTCACTTTGTGAGTCGTTCTTTTAGAGATTGTCACGTTTACTAATAAATCATATTAACATGGAACAGAACTGATTCAGATGTGCGTTCGAACTGAAGCATAAGAATACGTAAAATATTCTACCAAAAAAGACGCAAATTCTTTTTGTGACCTTAAATGGCTTAAATGGCTCCACAGACTATTCAAATAAAATGGTTTATTGTTGCACAAATGTGTGAGCATTTTAGTGACTTTTTCACATGCAACATTATCTATTTAGATAAACCATTAATGACGATACTACCGTTTACAAACTACAGTGGCACCACCAGTATTTTGGAGCCATAGTATCGCGATACTACCATAGTACCGGTAAATAACTGTTCAAAAGTGGTTTATCATTTAATTTAATAGTTTATTCCAGTGATTTTAAAGATGATTTTTTTTTCAGCTTCATAACTCCAGTCCTCAGTCACATTATCATATTAACATATTAATTATTATTATTAATAGTAATTAAAGCAATAATCACTGGAGTTAAAATTTCATAAAAATCATACAATAAGTAATAAATAAGTATTTAACATTTTTACATGTAATAAATGCTGCCTTAATAAACAGAAAAAATTATTTAAATTATTAAATAAGAATAACAATAAAAAATAAAATAGACCGGTAATGTATAAGCAACAAAACACTAGAAAAAAGGTTCACCATAAATGCGATAGGTCCAAATTTGCTCCAAAATAAATGTTTAATTTAAGGATGAACACTATATCTGCAGCATATTGCTTATGTCTTTTATATTATAAAATATAATATATTGCTATTAACTATAGTTAGTTGTTAATTTTAAAATGTTGCTCCTTTAGCACCAATTTTGAGGTATACCAATCGAGATATATATATATATATATATATATATATATATAATTATTATTATGTTTTTTTTTTTTTTTTTTTTGCAATTTCACACTCGTACCAGTGCAATATAGTTGTATATCGGCACTAGTGGGACAATATACAGTTACATTGCTCTGCTATGAGTGTAATATTGTGTTTATACAACAGTTCAACGGCACAATCATGTATATAAACAAGTAAGTCTAAAAGCCCTTTTGTAAGAGGAATTACTTTTTTCTGTCATTCATTCACATCTGCAGCTGACGTCAGAACAGCAGAAACCATTGCTAATTCATCAACGTTATTTTAAAGCTAGTATTTAAATGATACTCTAGTTTAATGTATAAAGTTATGACAAAACGTGTGATTTTGCTCACATTTTATGATTGTAAGGCTGAACAGCATGAAATGCCATCAGTCTACAGAGACATCTCCCTGTATTTCTCTGTTGCAATTGGGATATCACAATAATTATACCCGAAAAAGCCAAAGCAACGCAAACAATACCATGTTACTGTTGTGTTTGCAGTAAGGAAAAACAATAAACACATGCAGGGATTTCTTCTTCATTCTAAAGTAACGAAAACAGGAGACTCATTAGAAACCGATGACCAACCAAAAAGTAACTCAAAGTTATACAAAGAGTGGCCAACATAAATAAAACATAAATTCCTAATATGCAAGTCCCATCTCACACTCAGTACACTACAATTACTATGGTATAAATACAGCTCTGCAGTATAAAAGAGAGAAATCGACTAAGAAACTCCAGTTTCATAATGAATTGATCAGCTGTAGTTTAAAAATTAGGCTTTTTTTTTTCCTCTAACGGCTAATTATGCAGTCTCTGTCGTCATCTTGTGAATGGCACTGCAAATTATTAATATTTCAAATATCCTTATAAATAGACTGCATGGTTGCAATCTAAACAAGTACATTTTGTTGTCAACAGCTGCAATATTTGTTGCATTTTCCAATTGGAGCTACCCAGTGTTTTCACTTCCATAGTGCATTTAAGCACACACACACATACACACACACACACACACACACACACACACACACACACACACACACACACACACACACACACTACTTGACACTGAAAAACATCATGCTTGGTACACAGTGTTACCTTAATCTCAAAGAGCATGTACACTTAAACAAAAGCCTGTCTAAGTAGTTGTTTCGTAGGAGGCTTTGTTATGTCTTGTTGCCAAGCTCTGCTGTGATGCATCATTTCATTTTGTCTTATTTCTGTTGTAGTGATGATCAAGATGTTGTAGATGTCTAAGCCAGATCTGTTTTACCTCAGACAACCCCCCCCCCTTTCTGTCTAATCTGATTACATTTTTTGTAAACTTCTCATCTTTTCAGGCATATCTGCATTCAATGAGCATCATACATCGAGATCTCAACTCTCACAATTGCCTGGTCAAACTGGTAAGGGAGGATTTTCACCCATTCCACATATTAACTCGGATCAAAGTCTACACTTATTTGGCTTTGCTTTGGGGAACTCAGGGCCTAGAAACAGGTTTTCACAATCAAGGATAGCTGACAGGTTTGTGTCAGCACAAACAAAAAACAAAAAGTCTAAAGTAGACCCGAAAACAAGTTATGTAAGAACACTTGAGCAGAAAAAGAAAGCTCAGTGAAGGGTGAAGACGATCTGTTAACACTTGAGGATTGTTTAGTTAGTGGTTCCTTAGATGTTTTGGTAGTGGTAGAAGATAAGACAGGAAATGCTGTCTGACCCTGACTGACCTGAAGTGATTCACATACACTATGCTACGTGAATCACTTATGACAGGTTTATTAAAGAGGACTTTTACAGAGAACAAACAGGATGCATTTGAGACTTTTATAAACATTTGAAAGTTAAATTATTAAAGCATTGATTTTTTTTTTTTTTTTTTTTTTTACATTTTTTTGGTGTTAAAACATTTCTCATAATTCATTTTTAATAAACTTTCATGAAGCATAAATTTCAGTGCTCGATACTGATACTTGTCCAGGATGAGGGATTTTTTTTGAAGGGGAAAGTGAATGGGTATTTACTTGTCCAGCCAGACAAGTTGCCTAATCGAAACCTCAAACTAAAGAAGGACTGAAATTGTGGTGATAATATTTCTGACATTATTACATTCGAGGTAAATGGCAATTGATAATGTGCTGGCTGTCTGTATGAAAGAGACTCTAGTGTTTCTGTCAAAACCCACTGTCCATTAAACATTTTGTTTGACTGTAATACTTTTACCACTGTGAAGAAACGTGCTTTATTCTGTTAATATTTTTGGAAAAAGCAAGAAACTCCAAGTTTACTTCTAAAGGTTTTGGGGGGAAAATTTTCAATATTAAACATCTTATCTATGTTTAATTTTGTAAATTACAAAACCTGCTTACATTGGCAATAATGATTTTTTGCTCAATTTTGTTATTAAAAATAGTTCTCAACAGCCGAACATTTGCGCATCTGAACAAGACACCATTTTGTTCATTCTAAATTTAGACAGTTGGTTACGCGTTACACAATTTATTTAAAAACGTATATTATTTTTAAAAAGGGCCTTAAATCAATTTAGGAGATCAAACATCACAAATATGCCGGTTTAAGCAAATAAGAGTTGTTAATACACTGCTGCAAAATATTGATTAATAATAATAATAATAATAAATTTGATCTGTAATGCGCTTTTCTTAGACTCAAAGCGCTACAAGGCAAAATACTAACAATACAAGGCAAGCAGAAACAGTACAACAATAAAAACGATGCAATAAACCAATAAGAATATGAACCAGAAGATAGAATAAAAAGTTAACAAATTGATCATCCTAAGTTGAAAGCAATGCTAAAAAGGTGACTCCTAAAAAGTTTCTTAAAGTAGTCCAGAGAAGCGGCATTCCTAATGCTGATGGGTAGGGCATTCCACAGCTTAGGCGCACTGTATGAGAAAGCCCTAGCACCCATGGTCTTGAGTTTACAGCGTGGCTGATATAGAGTAAGTCCTGATACCGAACGAAGACTGCGGGCTAGGGTGGCGAAAGTCACTAGGTCACAGATGTAACCAGGTGCCAGCCCAGGTTAAAATCAAGGTCTAAAAATTTTAAAATCAATCCGGTTAGGTTACATTCACAGCACAAACAAATGAAGAGTTCAGATGCAAAAACCGTCTAAAATTCTTCTTACATTTGCATTTCTCAACATCTAGTGTTGATGTTCAGTTATTTCAAATTAAAGGTCATGAAAAGAACGTATTCTTTGCCATAAGTGTGAAAATACTGAAACTACACAGAAGCCTGAAACCCCCCCTCACAGATTTTAGATGAAAATTTTTGAAGGCGTTTAGAGGTGTTAGTATCTGAACTCTTCACATTTTCTTTCTATTATACATTGACAGCCAGTTTAAATGACCAATCTGCACTTATGTCATTGTTAAGCCCTGAATCTGTTCTGTCTGTTCATCTTTGCTCTACTTTTTCTTACCTCTGCAGGACAACACCGTCGTGGTGGCAGATTTTGGTTTATCTCGGTTAATCATGGAGGACAAAGTAAAGCAGCCTCCCCCGGACAAACCAACTAATAAGAAAAGGCTGTTTAGACGCATTGATCGCAAGAAACGCTACACGGTGGTGGGGAACCCTTACTGGATGGCCCCAGAGATGCTCAATGGTGAGAAGTTGGTTCCAAACCTTCTTCAGTTTCTTTATTCTCTTGAACACTAAAGATGTTTTTAAGAAAGCTGAAACCCGGTTACAACTGACATCCATAGTAGGACAAACAAATACTACAGGTCAATAGTTACAGGCTTCCAGCTCTCTTCCGAATATCTGTGTTTAACAGAAGAAAAACACAAACAAGTTAAGGGAAAGTTAAAGATAACAGAACATTTTTTTGGGTGAACTGCTGCTACTGACACATAATAAATGTGCAAATGCTTATGTTTGCAATAATTTATGAAAAAGATGTTTCAATTTCTTTCAACTTTTTATAAGTCTAGAAAAATACAATAATTGGATCCAAAGTCTAATTTTACACTTGTAAATGTATAATTGTCACCATTTTTAATACTGAATTGTTGAATTGTCGCACCAATATGTTTTTTTTTTTTTTTGGCCGATACTAATAACTGATAACTCTTAAGATTCGGAGGCCGATAACCGATATATTAGCTGATAAATGTTTTAAAATGTTCTATTTTTATACAGCGAATAACTGATTTAAAAAATTTCATAACAGTTTGAACTGATTTTATGAACTGAATAGCCTACTCAAAGCAAAAAAAAGCAATAGTTTCCAAATTGCAAGGTGATTATATAGACCTATAGTCATAATCATAACTATTATCAAAATGCCGATCAAACTAAATACAATCTTACATCAACAACACATGGCAAGCAATGCGTTGATAACAAATAATCATATTAGATTACAAACAACCCCAACGAGTGGTTTAGCATGTGTGCATCGCTGCTATTACAGTATGTTTACATGTAATATTTTTCCTGAGGCGATTTAAAGCAAAATACACAATGACACTATCAAACATATCTACAACGATACGGAATATGGTTACTTACTGAGTTATTAACGCACAGCAATACCACACAAAGAAAGGAAAGACTTTGAAGGAATAAACAATGGGGAAAGCTCCCTTATAGTGCACTGGACTACTCTGAAGCAGGCAGTTCTGTACAATTGCGTAATCTATCGACTTAAAGAGCCCATATTATACATGAAATAGGGTCATATCTTGGTTGTAAGGGTCTCCAACAACAGTCTAATATGCATGCAAGGTCAAAAAACACTTTCATGGTCTTATAATCTGCATTTATTTTTACCTAATTATCCCAGCGACTCCTGTATGAATCGTTCAGTGATTCATTTGTTCCCAAACCCCTCCTTAGCGCGAAGCTAATCTGCGCTGATTGGACCGATGACAGTCTGTCGCGATTGGTCGACTGCCTTCAGTCAGAGAGTGAAATGGCCAATAGCTAATCAGCAATTTAAAAAGTAATCACAGTTCATACACGCTAGATAGTGTAGGCGTGGATTTTAGCTGCCACACACACACAAACACCTCCGGACGAGAACGCTCCCGCTTCCGCCCGCACCCGCCAGGTTTTAGCCTTAGAACCCGCCCCGTATTCTGCCCGCCGCGCCCGATCCCGCTAAAGAGCGGGGGAGAACAAAACCGAAAATCTGTATAAACACACACACAGCACCAAGCATAAAGCTCTCGCTCGCTCGCTCTCTCTCTCTCTCTCTCTCTCTCTCTCTCTCTCTCTCTCTCTCTCTCTCTCTCTCTCTCTCTCTCTCTCTCTCTCTCTCTCTCTCTCTCTCTCTCATACGCGCGCGTGCGCACTAACACACAAGCACCAAGCAGACACATCTTTCTCTTTCTCAGGCAGCCCGCTCCCGTCCCAAATCAAACCCGTTACCGACCGCTCCGGCGATTTATTCGGAAATTTATTCCCGCGCCGCAGAAATCTGGCGCGGGGACAGCCGCGGGTATGCACACCTCTAACGTTACCACGGAGCTCCATAAACAAAGCAGCACGCGTCGCGTTTTTAACGTGACTTTGCACGCGATAAGAGAATATAGCCAGTTAACCTGATACAGTACACTCGGTTACAAGTAACAAATCACAACTAAATACATTTGCAAGCTAGAGTCAACGAGGCAACAACTTTAACCGCACGTACTTACACTTGAGAAATGGAAGAAACCCATCCTGACGTCCATCAGTTACTCTTTACTGATCCTTCCTTTAACAAACTCAGATGAAGTATTCTTTGTAGCATGTAGCTTCCAGAAGTTTCCAGTAGTTTCCAACTGCTTGGCTATAATGCTGAGGTTTCATCTTTGGGTAGAGACTCAATATATCCATCTGCAGTGTGACTTCAATCGACCGGCATGTTTGTGTGCGTGTGTTTGTGGGTGTGTGTGTGTGTGTGTCTGGGTTACTGCGTCAGAGGGCGGGGCCTCAGGTTTGAAATCTCCCGGGTTTGCGCGTGCACGTGAAAAACTTTGTTTCGTTCGTACGTCATGGCGAAACACCTAATGAGTCGGTATCAAGGCGACTCGTTTGAAGCACTATGAATCGACTCTTTTATAGATGAATCAACAGTTTTAAACACTGTATTCTTACAGATTTAAGCCTTAGCTGGATACTTCACTTCACTTAGAGCTGTGTTACACACTACATGGAGGGGAATTTTCAAAAACCCATAATATGGGCTCTTTAAATATATCGGCCTAATATTATAACGATAGTATTACAAATAGCATTTATCAGTCTATAGAGATATAACTGCCTATATATATATATATATATATATATATATCCATCCCTACTAGCTTCTTTTAAATATGTAAGTGTTTAGCAGTCACAAAAGTTCCAACAGTGACTGCTAGTGCTTTAATTGAAATGGTGAATGATCTCATTATTTTACAGGACTGGATTTTATTAAACTATTCACATGCTGTATTTGTAAAAATATCATGACTTGTATATATGTAAATATCAAAGGTACACTTTGAATGATGAAAAAGGACATTGTTGATCTAATGTCTGTAAATACTCAAAATATTCATTTTGAAAAGCAACAAAATATATAGTTTTTTTTTTGTAATATAAAACTTTTTTTTTTCTTAGACTGTTGTGTTGATGTTTTTGTGTTCCTCCAAGTAACTGTCATTATCTGCAATGAAACAAAGGTGTTTTTGGGTTGTGTTCAATAGGCTTGTTTTTCTTGATTTCTTTCATCTCTGTGTAAACAGGTAAACGCTACGACGAGAAGGTGGATATTTTCTCCTTTGGCATTGTACTCTGTGAGGTAAGAGTCCTTTGTTGTTGTAAACATCTCCCTTTTTATAGTACGTCTTTATGAGGACAGCATGTTCTCTAAGAACTGTCATTTATGTAAGCGATTGCATACGAATGTGGGAATGCCAAAAGCAAGCGCTACGCTCAACTGGTTTTAGTCAAAACTGCTACATTTCATTCTTTGTTATATAAGAGGATGCTTGAAAGTTTCATCATCTTTATTTCTTCTTATTCATTCTTCTTCCCTTTGGAATAGATTATTGGTCAGGTTTATGCAGATCCCGAGTGTCTTCCAAGAACACTGGATTTTGGGCTGAATGTGCGAACGTTCATCGAGAAGTTTCTTCCTGAGCACTGTCCTCCTGCTTTCTTTGCATTGGCTGTGGCCTGTTGTGACCTCACTCCTGACAACCGGTAAGTCACAAATGTGTTTTTTTAACAATAATGTTGAAGGTAAAAATAAAATGCATACAAGATGTTTTAGCTCATCTTTCACTGGCTATAAGTCATAGGTCTCAAACTCAATTCCTGGAGGGCCACAGCTCTGCACAGTTTTGCTCTAACTGTAATGAAACACAACTAAACCAACTAGGCATGCAGTGATTAACTGATTTCACTATTAACCACGCTTTAATTCGTCATGGTTAATTATTTATAAAGGCTTCTCATCAGTGTTTCTGCCTGGAACAAAACTGCTGCAACTAAACAACGTTATGCTAACTGTGCGTTAGTTTAAATTTCTGTACTTGTACACTGAGGCTATTACACACACACACACACACACACACACACACACACTGAATTAACTATGGCTGACTGTGGCTATAAACTAGACCATTCACATATCACGTCTTTTGCATGCGCTAGTTTTTTATTTCCAATGGACGCTTGCGGCTTCAAGGCACACTTATTTGAAAACATCTTTACTTTTTAGAATGTTGCAAGCGCACCGCAAGTCACAGTCAAGTGAATGGACCGATCAGCTTCATACTTTGTATGGAATATGCACATTTATACTTTAATGCACATTTAGTATTTTAATTTTGTACTTTTTTCCTTTTTGGACCAAACAAGTTTTGTAATATGGTTGATCAAAAGCGTCTTTCAGACAGAGGTTCAGCAGCCTTTCACTACATTTGTTCTCTTTAAAAGGGAAATACTCTAGTTAATACTATAGTTATGTTTAAATGTCAAAAACTTCAAAAACTCCAAAGAGAAATGGACAGTTTGTTTTTATTATTATTTTTTTGCTGCATTATTTGGTTACTGAGCACCAATAAAGTAGAGGTGTTTTGAAATTATTGAATGCATAATGTTTGTGATAACCGAGATTATTTCTCGGACTGTAATCGTACAACCAAAATCTATAATTGTTGCATCCCTAGATCCAACTAATCAAGGCGTTCAAGACTACTAAAGATTAAGCAGGTGTAAGTTGGAGGTGTTTGGAGCTAAACTATGCAGAGCTGCAGCCCTCCAGTAATTGAGTTTGAGATCATTGCTATAAGCTTTGTCTTGTCAATTATGAGACAACACTTCTTGATAAGTTTTTATGATAATCCATCCACATATCCTGATTGAGTTATGGGACTTCTTAAGTGTGAAATACAGAGATCATCAGAGGAAGTGTAGTTAGGACCTCATGTAAATATAAAGAGGTTTACAACTTTCCCTTAGCCTACTGTACGTGTGTGGGCGTGTGTGTGCGTGCGTGTGTGTGCGTGTGTGTGTGTGTGTGTGTGTGTGTGTGTGTGCGTGCGTGCGTGCGTGTGTGTTTGTGTGTGTGTAAAATAAATAAATTAAAATGCATATACTTGGATATACGAAGTTATTTTGGATCAAACCTATTTGCATTTAAGTGGTGATATAACATGAATACATGCTTTTTGTTTAAAAACTTTATTTTGGTGTGTAATAGTCAAATATTTAGAGTAGAAAATATTTTAAGAGCCATTAAATTTAGGTGGAAAACATCAAAAAGGCATGCAAAAATGCTGATTGGGTTTGTAAAAAAACAAAACATAAAAAGCAAACTGAATAAATCTGAAAAAAATGCACGTTTTGCTTTTTTATTATTATTAATTGCTTGATTTGCATTATTATTATCACTATCTTTAGTGATTTCCTTTGTAGGTTTTTCAACTGTTCAGTATTTTATAATAATTTAATTTTAACTGATTATTTTTAGTAATTATAGTAATATTTTATAAAGCAGCAGAGCAATTTCAAAGCTTTTATTTTGGTAGATTTTTTATTTTGTGTAACTTGAGCAGATGATTTTTAAAGAAAACTACAGCTATTTTGAAATGTTATACCTTACAGTACATTGTACAATATTTAAATGCAGCCTTTAAAAATATACAAAATCTTACGAACCACTTTTTTTTAAGCAGTAGCTTTGAGCAGTAGAAACAATGCTGTATAACATCACCCTGTAATGGACGGAAACACTTCCTGTTCTTACCTTTTTCCTCTTCCTGTCGTCTTCAGGCCTGCTTTTCAAAAGCTGGAGGACTGTTTCGAGGCATTAACTTTCAATCAGGAGTTGAACATCCCTCTACCTGCTGAACTGGACGAACTTCAGCAGAAGTTTTTAAGGACTTATG